CCCCGGGCCCGTCCGCCGCCGCCATGGCCCGGCCGCTGGTGCCCAGCTCGCAGAAGGCGCTGCTGCTCGAGCTCAAGGGGCTGCAGGAGGAGCCGGTGGAGGGCTTCCGCGTGACGCTGGTGGACGAGGGCGACCTGTACAACTGGGAGGTGGCCATCTTCGGGCCCCCCAACACCTACTACGAGGGCGGCTACTTCAAGGTGAGCCGCGACCCCGCCCGGCGCGGCCCCTGCGCTGGGGCGCGTGACTCAGTTTCCCCTTTGTGGTCTGCGCCCGGCCCGCCTCGGCCTGGCCCCGGGAGCCCCTGAGAACCCCCGGTTTCCCTTAAGGTAGCGGCAGCCCCCCTCGGTTCCCCGGTGGGTCCCCAGCCCTCCAGAGAGGAGGCTCTCCTCTCCAGAGAGGAGAGCAGAACCCTCCCTGTCCTGCTTGGGTGAGGGGCTCTTGCTTACCTCACCCTCGGGAAGGCCCAGCACCCCTGGCCCTGCGGGAGGATTGAAGGGGGAGCCAGAGGCCTCCCCAGATCCAGCGAGCTGCCACTGTTGGGGAGCACGGGGCCCGTGGAGGGGGAGGGAGGCCGGCCTGGGGGGCACTCGCTCGGGCTCAACAAAGGCTCGGATGGCGCTTTGGCAGCGGGGCCTGCCTGGAAAGCGGCCGCCTCTGCCGATAGCCGGCTGGGCGTTCCGGTCCTCTTCCCCGGCTTTAGGGTAACCTGGCCTCTCGGGGAGGCCGAGGCGGGGGCCGTCCCTCCCGTCCTGCTCCCTGGGGCCACACCCCGAGCCCCTGGCTCCCACTAAAGTCACAGGCCCCAACCTCAGAAGCCCGGGGCTCCTCTCACCCCGGCCGGCCTTTCTCAGGTTCCACCGAGGAGGTGGGTTCTTGGGACCCAAATCTCACATTCTGGGCCATCCGTCCGCCCTCTGGTGGCTTGATTCTGAGCGGTTCCTGGGTGCTTTTGTTGTTGTTGGAGCAGGGAGGCGGTGCTGTGACAGAGGACTCGGGCCAAAACCAGGGCAGTTTCCTCTACCTCACGATGTGAGCCCAGCCAGGCCCTAGGCTTGGACCTTGTTCTCGGGGCCACAGGGGCAAGGCAAGGGGCCTCTCTGTGTGTGAGGTGGGGAAGGAGCCCTCAGGCAGGAATGCCCCCCGCACCCCCATCACTGTCTGCTTTTGCCTTGGCTGGGGGACTGGGTGAGGAGCAGAAACCACAGCCAGAGCAGGCTACAGGTTGGGGCCATGGCAGGTTGGTGCTGCCAGGACAGATGCTTGTTTGCACTCTGGGCTGACGTTCTCAACCGGCCTACTCGGCGGCCATGGTTTGCTGGGTGTGATTTCTGAGTTGAGGTCCTGGGTTACAGCATAATAGGGTGTGATGGGGGACAATTGTGGGTGTCCCTGGGTTCTGCATTTGGAATCCTGCCTTCCATACAGAGAATGGATTTGATCTGAGAAGCCTTTGAGGTTGCCGGATGGTTTAAGCAGCCTCCTTCCCCCAGTCTCTTTTGTCTGCTTGGGGGCACAGCTGCCTGTGAGGATAAACAAGTCCCACCTTGAGGAAGGACTCTGACTCAGGCTGCTGATCTGGAAGGAAGAGATGCAGGCTTCTAGCTGCTGCCTGCCAAAGCAGTGTGAGGGATTGTGGACAGAGCCTCCTTGGCCAGTATTGGGGGGATAATCCCATTTTCCTAGAGAAGAATGGTCTGGGGAGGGGCCCCTGCCAGACTCAGATCACATCTGCCATAGGGTCTTTGCTCAGAAGCCAGCGTGGGACCCAGGGTGGTCCTGCCACCCATCAGGCCCTTCCCGTCAGGTGTGGTTGGATGGGGAGTGGGTGGGACCCTCTTGTGTTAGGGGATGTGAATGCATAGGAGTTGCAAAGTGCCGGGGCCACCATTACTTCCCAGCCACTTCCTGCAGCTCCTTCCTCTGGCCTCACCCACTTCTCTTATATGAGCCACAGTCCTCCCAGGCACTGCCAGAGACTCTCCACAGCTCACTGGCTGTGTGCCCTTGGCAGACTGTTTTCCTTCTCTGAGACTCAGGTATGCTCAGTAGTAAAAGGCATCTCTGGGGGTGCTTAAAGGAGGTGGGACTTAGTGCAGGTGAGGCTGGTTCTCCCTGCTCAGCTGAGGAGGCCTCAGCTGTTCTTGGGGGTCGTCGCTTAGGAACCTAGCACTCGGCTTGGGGTATCTTGAAGTCTTGGGGAACTGCTGCACAGGTTCTGAGACCCCAGCTCCAGGCATGCTCTGAGGTCACAGGCAAGCTACTTGCCTCTTGGTGCTCAGCATATTCACCCTCGAACGGAGGAGGGACTTCCCCCAAATGCCCTCTGGGTGCCCTCCCTGCCCCAAAGGGGACACTCCCAAAGATTAGTCCTGGGGGGCTGCAGCTGAGGTGGTCCCAGCCTCAGCCCCTGTGGAAGCACCACTGGGACCCCTGGCACAGATGCCCTTTGGTGCTTCATGCCAGGGCTTAATAAGCAGACAAGGAAGCCTCCGTGTCTACCTGCTGAGAGCCGACTTACCACCAAGGCCACAGGCCAAGCAGCTCTGTCTCCCGAGCAAGTGGCTCAGATCTGCCCCTTGTGGCCACCCTTGGCTGGCAGGCCTGGGCCCTCTGCCGCTGCCCGCTGTCAGGGGAGGCTCTCATGTAGAACAGGTCTTGCTGTGCTCCTGTGTCTGGGTCTGCCTGACCCCACAAGACCAGACACGTGAGGGCAGAGGGCCCTGCACTGACTCATCTCCTTCTGTAGCCTGCCCCATGGCAGGAGCCTTGGTGCTATGGAGTGAATACGTGTCTGTTCTACCCTCCTCACAACCTGGACGCTGAGGCCCCAGAGGTGTGGCAGTGGCTCGGGCCACGTGGCTGCAGGGGCGAGGCTGGGTCTGATGGGATGCGAGGGGAGCATGGGGCTCCCACCAGTCCATTCAGCCGTCTGCCGGTGGGTGCCTGGGTCCCACATGCCTGACCTGGGCTGCCAAGGCCTCAGAGTTGCTCCTGTGCTGGTGCCCACGTTGCCGAGCAGCTGCACTGGCCCGGACCCCAGCCACCTGAACTGTGTAGGGGCTGAGGTCAGCTCAGATAATCCAGGCAGCCCGTTGTGAGCTCAGCCGAGGGTGGGACACCAGGATGGGGCATCCCTCACACGCACAAGCACCTTGTCCTCCTTTTTACACACACACACACACACACACCCTACCCCTCACACGCACAAGCACCCTGTCCTCCTTTTTACACACACACACACAAAAACACACACACACACACACACTACCCTCGTCCTTCACACACATCCCCAACCCCAGCACTCAGAGAGTGATGGCCTTAGTCACGCAGCTGAGCCTCCTGCTCTCTGTCCACCCGTGCAGGCGCGCCTCAAGTTCCCCATCGACTACCCCTACTCTCCACCAGCCTTTCGGTTCCTGACCAAGATGTGGCATCCAAATATCTATGAGGTGAGCCAGCTCCCATGGCCTCTTGTCCTGTAGTCTGGGGCAGCCAGACATGGGTGTGAGCAGCCTCCAGAGCCCTGCTGACCCATCCTCTCCTTCTCCTCACACAGACGGGGGATGTGTGCATCTCCATTCTCCACCCCCCGGTCGATGACCCCCAAAGTGGGGAGCTGCCCTCGGAGCGGTGGAACCCCACCCAGAACGTCAGGTGAGGCTGGTCTCCTGTCCCAATATCAGCCAAGCCCCTCAGCACCAACACCTGTTTGGGACTGGTCAGCCAGCAGTTCCTGACCTCCCTACACCGGGGCTGAGTGACACCCACACTTTCTTGGAGCTTGCAGTGCTGCGGTGCCTGCCCAGACCAGCCTTCTGTCAGGGCATCCAGGATTCCTGGGGTGGGCTTCTCATGCTGCGTGGGCTGACCTATGGCAGGTCTCCAAGTGCAGGCACGTTGTCTTGTTGCATGCATGTCCTTAAATCTAGCCCAGGCAGAGGCAATGAGAAGTGAAGACAAACGTCACCTGCAGGGGTGCTGGCCACAGGGTGTGTCCAAGAGTCCCCCGGTGACTCTTGGGGCCTGAGGGAAGCTGGGGTTTTGGGGGCACCTCCTATAAATGGCAGCCCCACAGGCAACTACATGGCTCCCTCCTGGCCTCCAGTGGGTGGTATAGCCATGCACGGCCCACGTGGCCTCCCACGCTGACTTGGCGCCTCCCCCAGGACCATCCTCCTGAGCGTGATCTCCCTCCTCAACGAGCCCAACACCTTCTCGCCAGCCAACGTGGACGCCTCCGTGATGTACAGGAAGTGGAAAGAGAGTAAAGGGAAGGACCGGGAGTACACGGACATCATCCGGTGAGGGCGGGGCTGGGGGCTCCTGGGAGGAGAGGTTCCGGCAGCTCAGCACCTGATCCCCGTGGTGGCCCTGCCCCTGTGTGCCGAGGAGGACAGAGGGGCCCTTCCTGGACCCTGGCTTGTCTACGAGGCCACAGCTTACCCACAGGACCACAGTTACAAATGGAGAAACCGGGCCTGAGGTGGGAAGGGTCCATCCAGGTCAAAGCCCAACTTCTGGCCTCTTCTTTTGGAAAATTGGGTTGTTGGTTTTTTTCTTTTTTGTGTTATGAAATATTCCTGTGATATGAGATTGTACACATGCAAGTATGTGTGTGATGTGTGTATGCAGTGTGTATTGTATAGCATATGCGTGTGTGTATGCACACACACAATAGTGCAGAATATGAATGAGCACACGAGTGTCCACCAGGCTTGTTAATGAGGCTCTACCGTACTTCTTTTGCTTGGTAACTAAGACACCAGAGGTTGGCCTGGTCCTCTGTCTGTGCCTCTCCTTGGCCCCCTCCTAGAGCAGCAGGATCATTGTTTATATTTTGGTCTGAGTACTTGTATCCAGCACACGGGAGGTGTGGTAGTGCCTGTCCGCTTTAAACACTACCTAAGTGCATGTCTGATGCATGTGTGTCATTCTGCTACTGGAGTCTGTCGCTCAACTTTGTTTTCACACATTACTGAGGTCATGTGTTGTGCATTGTTTTAATAATTTGCTGCCTAAACGTGACTTAGGTTTGTAATTTTGAAACTTGTAATCATTTCCCAAAGGAAGAAAAATGGTGTGGCGTTAGCTTATCTAGAAAATAGCCACCTTTTTTTAAAAAAATGGTTTTTTCTTGATTATAAAAGTAATATGTTATTCGTGGATTTGCCAGAATTAACCTTCCCTTTTCACTTTAGTTGTTTTCAGTTTTCTCCTTCTGTGAGTAGACGGCTGGACATCCTCATAAAGGAAACTTTTAGCAAAATAGGTTCTCAGTAGTGCAGCTACCAGGGCAGAGGCCAGGACTTCGTTAAGGCCCCTCGACTTGTGAGTCATGCATGTGTGCCTGGGACGGCTGAGCCACCTTGTCTTCCTTCCTTGGGCAGTGTTGCTTTCTGTGAACTGCCCTGGTCCATGGTCCCTCTCCAGCAAGAGATCTCTTGACTCGTTTTATGACAGACATAACCCTTCGCTAGGTTTCCTCCAAATACTTTCAGTTTGTCATTTCCTTTTAATCAAAAAAATAAGTAAAAAGTTAGACATGCCCATGCCTTACTGCCCAGTGGACACAAGGGATGCTGCTCAGTAGCATGAAGCCAGAACCACCAGTCCCGCAGCTATGTGGCTGGGTCCAGAGGTAGAAACAAATGCTTGGCCAGTAGTCCCATTAGCAGGTGATTCCAGAAGGTATAGGCTGAGCCTCTGTGGCCAGTGGTCGGGAGATGGGATTAAAGGGGCAGGAAGCTTTGGGGGCAACAGGCGAGTTGGTTTTCCGGGCTGTGGTTCCACGCAGGTGCAGGGTCAGACCTCTGCACCAGTACACTTCAGGTGTGTGCAGCTTATGTGGCTGAAGCTGCAAGAACAACACTTGCAGTATGAAGGCAACATGGCCACGGTTGAAAACTACTCAAGTCCAAATGGAAATGGAAAGAGAACCTCGTGAACCCCGCACCTAGCGGTTAACATTTTGGTGTGTCTTCCTCTATGTTTTCAGTTCATACACACGTGTCCTATGAGGAGATGGGAGGGTGCTGTGCATGTGGCCCTGAGGGAGGGCACTGGGGTGCTGTTTCCAGGTGATGAGATCGTCTTTGTGGGCTCAGGTCTGAGGAGGCTGGTGGGCAGTTGTCAATCTTGTCCACACTCTGGGGTCTTGCCATTTGTGTGCATCCTGCGAGCTCATCTGAGTGTCTGGGGCCTCTGTGGCCATTGCTTCCACTTAACCCTGACCTACCGAGGTTCACATACGTGGCCATGTGTACTGGCCTCCTCTCTGAAGGCCAGACGCACTCCCTGTCACTGCAGCTCCTCAGCTGTCAGGCCCCAGCGCTGCAGTGTGTTAACTGCTCCTCGTCTGGGGTATTTATGACATGAGTGCGTGAACGTGTACATGTGCACACGTGTGCATGCACGGGCAGAGGCGGAGGTCTGGTTTAGGGGACTGACAGCCCTACGACTCTGCTCCTCTGTCACCCAGGACCCCTTTCTGCCTATTTCAACTTCCTCCTCTCTGAGTAAAACTGCACAGCTTCCTCATGTGTGTCTGACCCGTTTTGGTTGGTTGCTCTGTGGTGCTTCACGTAATCAGGATTTTTAAAGTGACTCGTGGGCCGAGCCTGTGGCGCACTCGGGAGAGTGTGGTGCTGGGAGCGCAGCAGTGCTCCCACCATGGGTTCGGATCCTATATAGGGATGACCGGCGCACTCACAGCGCTCACTGGCTGAGCGCGGTGTGGCCAGTCTCAAAAAGGACACAATAAATAAATAAATAAATAAAAGTAAAGTGACTCGTAACTGTCGCACACATAACCTATGTATATTTGTCCCCATGGCCCTACGGGGACCTGAGAGCACAGGGTGGCCCCTCCGCTTCTCTGCTGGCCTGTCAGCCTGATTGCTGGCACCTGGTGAGCCTGTTAACTGGAGGGTCATCCCAGGGCAGCCGCCCTGCTGACTGGCAGTCACAGTGGACAGAGTGGGAGGTCCTGAGCATCGGGGCGGGCGTGGTCCAGTGCCGCCATCCTGGGAGGTGCTCCACAAGCACTTGCCAACCCTCTGGAGGTCGCAGAGGAGCAGTTGCCTTGGCAGTCATTCCACGTGTGCAGATGCCCATGGGGGCGCTGGGTCTGTCCCAGCTTCCTGGTGAGTCCTGGCCCACACGGCCGGCTCCTTGGCCTGATCTTCCCTGCCACCTCCTGTGTGGTGCCTCCTCGAGATCCCAGCGCAGAAATAAAATCCAGATTATTTTTATCCTTTAAGCCTCCCTGTGGGCTGCTCACATGTGCCCACACGAAAGACTGTGGTCACTGCTGTCTGCCCAGCTTCCAGTCCCTACCTGCGTGTTTTGGCCTCGAAGCAGCCTGTGTCCCCACTTAGTTCTAGGATTGACAGGTGCTCCTGGGGTTGACAGATGCTCCTGGGCTGGGTGGGGTCTCAATGTTGTGAACCCGTGGGTTCCCCATTCCAGGGCCGGTTTACGCTGGGGGAGACGATTTAGGAAAGCCCAGAAGAGCCAGCTGTGTGGGCTCTGTGTGTGCCCTGGTGTGCACTCTGACCTGCTGACCTCACCCCAGCTTGCGTTTCCTGATGGCTGCAGCACTGTCTGTTCTCTGGTGTCCTCTCGGCTGTGCCAGGTGCACAGAGCTGTGCTGAGTGCTGCTTCCTCTCCTGTGTCTGTTTCTTCCTACACAGGGGGCTGCCAGGCTGGAGGCTGGAGCCAGTATCTGTCCACTCCTCAGCCCCTCCCTGTGAGGGCTCCTGGTCACAGCACCAGGGTCAGGGTGGCGCCCTGTGTCTCCTTTCTAATGCAATCGCAATGTTCCTCCGTCGTTCCCATTCCTGTTTCTGTCGAGCAGGCTTGAGTTGTGCCCAGCTTGGCAGCAGCGTTCTGACCTAGCATGGTGCGAGTCCTGTGTGGGGCCCTTGCCTGGCTGCACCAACAATGGAAGCCATTTCACCCGTTTCTGTGCATTCTATAAGTGGAGTTGGGGAGAGGCCCCTATCGGGGCCTCAAGTACGCATCGCCCTCTGGAAAGTTTGTACCGATTCAGTTCCCTCCTCCTAGGGTGGGGACAGCACTCAGCTCTGGCTGCGATCCCTTTCCTGCCTGTAGTTTTGTATATGGGAGGTTTTGCTGTTCCTTGATTGCTCCAGTGGCATGTGTTCCTTGTCGGGCAGGAGGTCGGGGTCTGTTTTAGCTGCCACCCACCTGGAGCCTCCCATCTTTCCTCCAGATCCTCTTCCATCCTGTGTGCTGTTTGGAGAGAAGCCCCAGTGCGAGGATGGGGTGGCGTTGGGGGGGGGCACGGGGTCTGAGCGAGCCCTCATCCAACCCTGTTCCCCCAGGAAGCAGGTCCTGGGGACCAAGGTGGACGCAGAGCGGGATGGCGTGAAGGTGCCCACCACGCTGGCCGAGTACTGCGTGAAGACCAAGGCGCCGGCGCCCGATGAGAGCTCAGACCTGCTTTACGATGACTACTATGAGGACGGTGAAGGGGAGGAGGAGGCCGACAGCTGCTTCGGGGACGACGGGGATGACTCGGGTACCGACGAGTCCTGACACCTGCCCCCCACCGAAATAAACTTACAAATTTTACCTCACTAGGACCGGACCGCGCGGGGTCTCTTAGGCGACAGACTACCTCACGGAGGTTTGCATTGGTTCCCTTGCTCTGTTGGTTGTTTCGTTTTAGGTCTTTTTTTCCTTCCCTATATTTGTTTTGGGTTTTCCTTTGTTTCAGGGAAGAGTGGCCACCCCCCTCCCCCCCATCTGCCCCCATTGCTTGTGGGACTTGGGGCCACCTCCCCTCATACTAGGGGCAGCAGAGTCCCAACTTCTGCTCAGGTGACCTGTTCCTGGGGACTGGCCGTGGCCTGCCCAGAGGAGCCTCATGAAGCCGCAGGCTGGGACACGTGGACCCCGGGGCCCAGCTGCCTGCTGCCATGGGCCTGGGGGACCTGGGAACCATGTCCATCAGCAACTCCAGGGCCTGGAGCCAGAGACTAGGCCTGTGTCCCTGCACTGATGGATGGATTGACTTGGGCCACCTCTTTTCTCTGCTTTAGTATGTTTGAAATCTAAATAAAACTACTTTATGAGAAGCCAGAGAAACTTTCCTCAGGAGGGAGAGGCAATGGGAGGTCCCTTTGTCACCAAACTGCTGGTCCTGCTCGACACCGCCACAATGGGGTAGGGGTGGGTCAGGGTGGCCTGTCCCAGGGAGACATAATGTGATCAGGGTGGGCCTGTCCCAGAGAGACATAGTGTGGTCAGGGTGGCCTGTCCCAGGGAGACATAATGTGGCCAGAGTGGCTGGTCCCAGGGAGTCTGAGGGTGTGATCAAGGTAGCCTGTCCTTGGGAGGCCTGGGTGTGGTCACTGTGGCCTATCCCAGGGAGGATGGAGGTGTGGTCATTGTGGCCTGTCCTGGCGAGGCCAGAAGTGTGGTCAGGGTGGCCTGTTCCAAGGAGGCCTAGGGGGCAGCTCTCTGTGTGGCCTGAGTTAGATGGGCCTGGGCAGCCACCCTCCTTCAGCTTTGGGGGGACATGTGTGGCCAGAAAGCTCCCCAGCGGATTCCTAGTTGTGGCTAGTTGTGTTTTGGGGAAAGGGTGCCACATCTGCAGAGCAGATCCACGGGGTCTGGGCAGAGGAAGCTGGTTTACTTTGCATTTATTAAGTGAAGCTCTCTGTCCCAGATCCCCAGCCAGGGATGGGTTCCTGCTGCTCTGGTCCCCAGGGCTGGAGGTGACCCTGGTGCCCTTCAGGCTCCACCTCTGCTGCCTCCGGAGCCCAGAGGGGCCTCGGGATGGTGGCACGATCCTGGGGGCACTGGGTACCCTCTCGTCTTGGTGTCAGGAAGCCTCTGTGGTCTTGTTTTTGTGCAGCTAAAAAGTCCCAGAAGGCCTGGATTCAGGATTGAGTGGTGCCATCCAAACAAGGTTCTCCACCAAGAACTGGACTCAATGGCCCCTGGGCTCCCTTCTGGACCCTCAGCCCTGGAGGCCACAGGCTGCCACTCTGGGTCAGGGCTGCGGCCAGAGCCTGCTGTCCCAGCTCATCTGAATTAATTCCTGGCTTTTATTCCCCTGAGGGGTGGTCTTCTGTCCCCTCCCGCTTCCATCGCAAGCCTCGTCCAGTTGGCTTAGCTCACCTTTTAGCACCACCGTGTGTAGCTCCAAGATGAGAAGCTCAGCTGCATTCCAGCATCTAGTGGGTCCTGGACCGCTGTGTGGGTCTCTGGGGCCTTCTGGGACTTTAGATCAGTGCTTGGATCTCCTCCAAGCACTCAGCAGGTACCAGCTCTTGGGCACCATGTGGTGGCCCAGCGGCAGAGCAGGACACAGCTGGGCATGTGCAGGGCTGTTGAGGCACCTCCTGTCCCCACCTACAGGCTGCCTGGTCCGGAGGGATGGGTGTCCCTGAGTGTAGCTGCTGCATCCAGGGGTTCCTGGGACTGGCCCTTTGCCCCTGTTGTGGGTAAAGTTTTATGTACACAGCCACACGCTTCTCCATTGCTGTCTGGCTGAGTTCATGCTGCAGTTCTACAGAACTGAGCTGTTGCAACACAATGCATCTGGCCCAAAGAGCCGAAAATGTTTACTGTCTGGTCCTTTACAGGACAGTTTTCTAACATGGGCCCTCCCGGCTACCCTCCCCAAGCTTGTCCTGGTCTGGCCCCTCCCTGCTCTCCTTGCACCTCTCGTCCCCTGTTCCACGTCCACTGCTGCAGAACAAATCCCCCCAGACTCAGCAGCATGAAGCCCCTCAGTGTGCCATGCTCAGTGCCTGGGGTCAGGAGTTAGGTGAGCACAGGGGTGGCTTGTTTCTGCTCCACTCTGGCCAGGCCTTGGCTAGGAGTGACCCAAACTGGGGGCTGGAGGCCTTTGAAGGTGTCTACTTGCATGCTGGGTGCTAAGGCTGAGGTGTGACTGGGGCTTCCTCCCAACATGGTGGCCCAGAAGCGAGGCTGTTTCTGACTAGCCTGGGAGGCTACCTGCTGCCAGATTCAAGGGGAGGGGACCCAGATCCCCCTCTCGATAGGCTTCAAGAGGAAGGGCTAGTGACCAGGTTGTAAAACTTCCCCCTGCGACCATCCCCCACATGACTCCCAAAGGATCTTGTCTGGACCACACATCAGCTCTAATACCTGAGCCCTCTGGGTCTGGAGCCAGACTGCCAAGTTCCAGTCCTGGAGCTTCCCAGCTGTGGGAAAGTGGCCTCAACTTTCGGGACTTCTGTGCTCCAAGCTGCAAGATGGGATGAAGATTAGGGGTAACCAGTTAGATGCAGATTTCAAACAAGTGACTTTTACTCTAAGTGTATCCCATGCTATATTGGGGACATACTTTTTAAAATTTATTTGGGTGGCACAGGGATCAAACCTTGGATCTTGACGTTATCAGCACCACACTCTAACCAAGTGAGCTAACCGGTCAGCCTGGGACATACATACACGAGAAAATTATCCATTATCTGTCTAAACTTCAAATATAACTGAGCGCCCTCTACTTTTAGTCGCTAAATCTGACCACCCTGATACTAATGGACGTCCCTCCTGGGTTATTAGGATTCAAAGAGCTAGAACATGTGCGCAGACTCTATAAATGTTCATCTTTCTTAAACTCATCTCTGGCCTCACGTACCATGCTGGGTAAAGATGAAACTCCGGAGTGTATTAGTTTGTTCGGGCTGCTCTAACAAGTGCCTCAGACTGAGTAATTTATAAACAGATTTACTGCTCATGATTCTGGAGGCCGGAAGTTGAAGATCAGGAGCCCTCATGACGTAATTACCTCCCCAAAGCTCCACCTTCTAACACTGTCACATTGGGGATTGGGTTCCAACATTCAGACCATAGAAGTGACGAGCCAGACAAACGCATCAATGAGAGGACAGGGGTGGCTTTCTCCAGTGCACCCAGCCCAGCCCGCACCAGCTGAGTCCCTCCCTGTTTTGGGATCGTTTTCTTCCAGCCACCTCCCCTTTTTTTTAATCAGGACCATATCAATTGCAAGGGATGTGAAGCCTAACTCAAACAGACTCTAGCACAACGGGACATTACTGGCTTCCACGACTGACAGGGCCATGGGTTTCAGGCACAGCTGGATCCAGGCACTGGTTCTGTCCAGACTGTCTCCCCACATCTGTGGTTGACAGAATAACAGTCCCCCCAAAGATGTCCATGCCCTAATCCCCTGTGAACATGTTACTTATGTGGCAGAAGGGACTCTGCAGATGGGAAGAAGTTGAGGACCTTGAGATGTGAGTTATCCAGGGGCCCAGGGTCTTCATAAGAGGGAGGTGGGAGGGTCAGAGTCAGACAGACTGGAAGATGCTGCACTGCTGTCTTTGCAGATGGAGGAAGGGACCACACGCCGAGGGCTGCGGGCGCCTCTAGAAGCTGGAAAAGGAGGACACAGGTCCTCCCCTGGAGCCTCCAGGAGGGACCAACCCTGCCCTTGTCTTGATTTTAGTCTAAACTGATTTCAGACTTATTTCTGGCCTCTAGGTTTGTAAGACAATAAACGTGTCTTGTTTTAAGTCAATAAGTTCATGGTGATTTGTTTAGGCAGCCACAGGAGACTCATATGCCATCAAATACGAGGGGACTTCACAAAATTCATGGAAAAATAAAATTGAAAGACAATACGAATCTTTCCACAAAGTTTTTCTCTTTTTTTTTGGCTGGCCAGTACAGGGATTGAACCCTTGACCTCAGTGTTATCAGCACCACACTCTAACAAGTGAGCTCACCAGCCAGCCCTTGCATGAACTTTATGAAGACCCCTCGTATGCCAAACACTGTGTGTGGTCATTTTGTCTACATGGTCTCACCACTAAATGGAAACCCCCAAAAGCAGAGATCTTTGTTTTGATCACTGCTATATCCCAGCCTGAGGGTAGTGCCTGGCATACAGTCGGCGCTCAATAGATAATGGGTGAATGGGTGATGCTCCCTGGTAGGAATAAAGGCTCGTGTAGGAAGGGAGCGGTGCACATTGCTGGGCTGTGTGATTCTGGTCTGTTGGCTGGAGACAGCTGTCCCTCTCTCTCCCCTCCAGTGCAAGGAGTTCAAGAGTTCGTCATGTAAACGAGGGCTGGCTGGTGTGCACAGTAGGTCAGAGCACGGTGCTGTAACACCAAGGCCAAGGGTTCGCATCCCCGCACCAGCCAGCCACCTAAAAAAATAAAATGAAACAGGCTGATGCAAGAGCTCTCAAGCTTCCTGTCCATTCATGTCCAAGCAGAAGCGGGGTTCTGAGGGGGGCACCCCCACATTTGAGGATGTCAGTCCTCTCCTGAGCCAGTCATTCCCAGGCTTCTAAATCCTGAGTACCTATGTGTGTTTCTTTATAGTGATTGGTGCTGTGGTGTTCTCAGAATAGCTGAATTCTCTCCTCTGCTGGGTACCATGGTCTGCGGGAGTTTTTATTTATTGTCTGCAAGTCTTTCGGCAGAGAGGTGGCCAGTCAATCAGCGCTCAGCTCCTGTCCGTTCAGCTTTACAATTTTCTTCTCCTTTCCACATTCCCTTCTATAAGTCTTTCTTTTCAACTCGATATAAGTCGTGTTGACACCTGGACATTTAAGACAGAAGCCATCATGACACACAGACTTGGCCATTGGGCAAATTAAGGATTGTTTTTTAGCAAGGAACTTGTGGTATAGTTAGGAATACTCTGATATAGGCAAGAAATAGGTTTTAAAGTTGTTACTTGCTTGTGGTGTACCCTGAAGAAATTGTACAGGACTCAGTTCCCTCATGTGGAATCAGCTGAGGTGATCTCTGTGGGGTCGCTCTTGTACCAAACACCCAGAGACTAGAGCAGGCTCTGGCCAGTCCCGAGCATCAGTTATCCTCCAGTCCCCATGAACTCTGGCCTCTTCCTGAGCCTGGACTTTGAGAACCTTCGACTTTAATCCCGTGTCTCCAGGCAGCAAACCCCAAAACACCCTAGAAATAAAACAAAAAACTCCCCTATGACTCAGCATTGACGCATGCTGCACATTCTAATATTATTTCGAGCAGCACAGCGTAATCAAAAACATGAGCTTTGCAATCAGATGACCTGGGTCAAGTCCCATTTCCCCAGCAGGCTTGCTCTGC